CTTGTTTGCTGTCTTCTGCTCCTTCCCCCCTCCCTTCTCACTTCTCTGATCGCCGACGAAGCCACGTAGGACGAAACAGCTGTTCCGTCTGTCTCCGTCTGTCTCCCAACCCCGCTCGACGACGTAGCCACGTAGCCTCCTCAGCTCCTCCTCGGCTGCCCCCGCCTTTCCACTCCGTCACGTTTCTGCTGCGTCACCGGTCCTCCTCTATCTGTTTCCCTCCTCCCCTCACACGCGTCGCATCGGCTCTCCCTCCCGGCAGCTGCAGACAATCACTCTCCACCTCCTCCTTAAAGGCACAGCTCAAACAAAGGGAAAAGAAGAGAAATAAACGGTTTGCGCACTTTTTAATTAATTTTAGTCTTTCTTATTTTCTGCTCATTAAGTTGGATATCATCGCTCCTACTGCCTTTACCCACTTCCCCCAATTGTTTCAGTTTAATAACTTTAGCCGCTTGCAAATGGGGCATTTTGTTCCCCCCCCTTTCTGTTTTCCTACACCGGAGCGTTTTCCCTACCACTGGGTTTCACTTTCAAACTTTACCCTTATTTCCTTTTATTTTATTCATAAAAGGGAAAAAACTAGGAGTATACTTAGCTTCGGGTTCACTTGGCAATTTGGTGGAACTCCTTCTTTGGTCCTTGTTGGCTTGTCTGTAGCTCGACGTTCTCTGTCGGGGCTCCTGATGTTGTGCGCTTCGGGGTTGGCTCGGAAAACACTGGGAAGGGTCGCCACCCTCTCCAGGCCGATGCCCGCACCCCTTGCCAAGATTTCCTCTACAAGGAAGTCTTATGGTGGTGGAAAAAGTACCTTTAACACAACAAAAGGTCAGAATTGGTGTGGAGCTAGTCTCACACGCTGCTTCTCTCGACAAACCGGACGTGACCCTCAAAGGAAATGTATTGAAGTGTTTGGGGAAAACACTGAAACAAAAGCCTCTGAAAATAAAGATTTAAGTCACTGTGAGAAGCTTAAGAAACTCTCATTAACCTGAAACATAAGAACTAAAGTCTATGCATGTACTGGTTTTACCGTAGAAGTTTTAGCCCCTGATTTCACTTGGCCTTTCCCCTCTATGTTGAACAAAATATTTTGTTATTTTTAATTTTAAAACGCCTCGTGCCATTTCAGTTATTTAAAGGGGGCTACCAATCCTTTCCATAGGTTCCAGGGCTGAGCCAACAGCCAAAATATCATACTGTGACAGGGTGGGACAGCCAGAGTTCTTCAGCAAAGAAGAAAACACATTACTAGGGCAGTTCAGTCAGTAAAGGGAAAGAAAAACAGAAGGAAAATCTTGCCTCTGAGTGAGGGAAGTCAGAACATCGTTTGCTGGAAGAGTTTTATGTTTTTTTTGTTTGTAGTTCATTAATATTATTGTTAATACTATTTTTGTCTCAGAAAACATTAAAATTAAAAAGTTTTTAAAAAAACTATAAAGCTAGCAATGTAGCCCCCCAAAAAAGGAATTGGTGTGTTGAGTGAGACTTGGGTGCCAATTTGCCTAATTTGTACAGGTTACAGAACTTTGGCTTTTAATGTCCTGGGTGCAAAATATTGACTTTTTTAGTCCAGAGGACACACAACTATGCTAACAGGTAATACGCACATGATCCAGGGGGCTAAGGCGTGCACAAGACACAGGCCTTGGTTCAACTGATTCAAAGCTGGAAGCATGAAGACTGAAATAAAAAAGACTATGTTAATGTTAATTCATGCAAATACAACTATTTCGCCATAAAACTGGTATCTTCTATATACATGCTAACACAGTGAAACTGCTACTTTCCCAAATGCTCTGTGTGCTCCCAAAGTGCTTTCTTGGAATTCTAGACAAAATAATAAAATGGAGGTTAAAGAAAAAAGCAAGAGATTGGCTATAAGTCATGGTACCTGCTTATTATATGGAACAAGATTTAATGCCACTGTGCTTTGGATTCCTTCTATGTCTGCTACTGAACTGCAATCTGTACAGCAATAGCACTTCTTCTGTAGAAGCAATTCCTTTGGAAATCAGGAAATCAACAGAAGCAGATGAGACGACTAGAGAAAACATCTGTCTGGTTCCTACACACAAAACCTAATCATAGTTTTGCACTGAAAATTAACTACGTATTTTTAAAAAGAATTGAGAAACACCTTTAAACTACTTCTGCCCTAATCTATTATTCTCTTCAAATATCTGGCAGGAAGGAATTATCTCCTACTGGAACAGCTGGACTATTTGAGATCTGCCTTTTGTATTTCCATGACACAGCTTAATCAACAGTGGTGAAACACACCCAGAGTGAATTCCATTCCCTGCTCAGACAGAATACATATCTCTTCCCAAGCCCCCATACCTAAAAGAAGAAGGTGGCCTATTTTCAGGTGTCCTTGAAGAGGCAGATCCAAAAAGCTTCCTTTGTTCCTCTCTTGGTGTAAATGGTCTTCTAGTTCTTAATGTTCTTAAAGCATTTCGGGCTTCATTTATAATCTCAGCACTGGTCTTCTGAACAGCTAATGAAGGCCTATAGAAAGCTTCTGAATTTTCCAACTTTTTGTTCTTTGATGACATCTTCTTGAAGGAAGCACTTCACATGCTACATAGTAGGAACAGAAAACATAAAATTACCAGGGGCTTATAAGCAGTGTAAATGTTTCACAATTCAGATCACACACTTATGCACATCCAGTCCCCACAGTTTGCACAATTGTCACCAGCCCACATTGCCTTATTATCCGTCCACACTGAATACAGCACAGTCAGTCTAATCCACATTCCAGCAAAATGGTGTTTTTACAGTATTGTACTGTTTCTGATATTATTGCTATATTTGCCACTTTCTTCTACAATCAAACACCACCAAGAAATATACATCAGAGGATAGTCTAGAGTTATTTTTTGGTGCATAGAGCCTGGATCTGACATGGGACAACATATCAGATATGACTGCTGTCTTCCAGCTTACAAGGTTGTTAGCCGAAGTGCCTTATTTCTTATCAAGCTTGGGGAGAATTATGATATTAAAGGGCAATTGGCATATAGCGCAGGGTCATAACCTGTGGATACCAGAGTCAGAATTCCCACAGACGAGGAGATCAGGTTGATGTGATAATTGGTCTTTTAGTACAAATGATCAATCATACAAATATGATTAGCACACAGACACACTCAATACAGATCTAGGAAGGATTAGGCAGGAAAGGACAGTGACTTTCACATTAGCAGGAATATCGCTGATGGGAGATACATTACCTGTCCAGCAAGACAAGTAGACCATGCAGTGAAAAGGGAAGAAAATGAGAGGGAGAGGGAGTGGATTGTGAGCTGGCCAGCAACACATGTGGAGGGGTTCCAAACTGATCAGGGATGGAACCTGAAAGGTGAGGTGGGGGGTGGGAGCTTCACTGCATGTGCTGAGAGTTTCCCTTAAGTAGCCAATTTTGTGACCTGAGGCACAAACTGGGCGATCACTGGTTCCCAGGAAATACAGAAGAAAAAAAAATACCTAAGGATGGATATGACAAAGGAAATGATGGTTGGACAGTTTAGTTGATGTGCTAGAGGGAGTGACACCTCTTGGGGAAGGCATGAGACAAGGGAAGGGGGAAAGAGGGTACAATAACTTTAATGATTCAATACTTGTCTTGGGCATCCTCTGGATCGGTGGCAGGAAGGCTCAACTGCATCTTTTGTTTCTGGCTGGGCAACAGTCTTTGTTTGAGGAAGACTAAGGGGGAAAAAGAATGTGCTGCGTGATGGAGAAGTGTTCCCTTCATGGCTTCTTTGCAGGAACATCTAGTCTCTTTCAGAACATGGCTCCTCTCTGGTCTGCTGCTGTTTCTGTGTTCATAAAGACTGGGGCTATTGGTCTGCATCACGGTCCTTGTACAGATACAGAGTGGAGCATGGGCAGAAGTCCTTTGTAGTTTTGGGTCCAGATCTGGCTTGGCATGCGCCTTTGGCACAAGGCTGCCCTGGCCAGAGTATACAGTCTATAGCCCAGGATTGGGCACTCAGCTTAGGACCACAGCTCTGTTCATTGCCCTGGCACCCAATTCACAGTCTAGCAAGGCACTGATAGTAAAAGAATCTCTTTAACAGTGTAATCTGGAATGGCTTCTTGGCAACAAGGTAACCATTATGTAATAAAGCATTAGCATCAGATTCACGTAGGCCTCGAATTTGTAGTCATATCTTAGATTTCTACGTTGATGATCAGGGGCTCAAGCAAACATGCATTGAACTTTACATGTGTAGGTCCTAGGCAAATTTTATGTTCAGTGTGTGGACATCCACAGCACAGTTTTCACAGTGGAAGGTGGTAAGCTGTGTGGTACTGCAGAGCTCGGTACTAGGTCTGGTGGTTTTTAACTTGTTCATTAATGATTTGGAGTACAGAGTAAGCAATGAAGTGGCTAAGTTTGCAGATGAAACTAATGTTGTTAAGGGCGGTAAACACCGGGGAGGACTGTAAGGCGCTCCAGAAGGATCTACTGAGGCTGGACAAGTGGGCATCAATGTGGCAAATGAGGTTCAACACGGGCAAGCATAAAGTAATGCACACTGGACCCAAAACTCACAACTATAAATACACACTGATGGAGTCCAAACTGGCGGTGACTGACCAGGAGAGAGATCTTGGAGTCATGATAGATAACTCACTGAATATGTCAACTCCGTGTACGACTGCAATAAAAAAGGCAAATGCTATGCTGGGGATTATTATGAAGGGAAGTGAAAACAAATCAGCCAGTAGCATAATGTCCCCATATAAATCTATGGTGTGGCCTCATTTGGAATACAGTGTACAGTTCTGGTCACCGCACCACAAAAAAGATAGAATAGCATTGGAAAAGGTACAAAAAGGGGCAACTAAAATGATAAAAGGGTTGGAACACTTACCCTATGAAGAAAGGTTAAAGAGGTTAGGACTCTTTAGCTTGGAGAAATGATGACTGACGGGTTACATGATAGAGGTGTACAAAATTATGCATGGGATAGAGAAGGTAGAGAAGAAGTACTTTTCTTTCTTTCTCACATTACAAGAACTCGTGGGCACTCAATGAAATTGATAAGCAGTAGGTTTAGAACAAATAAAAGGAAGTACTTCACCCAAAGAGTAATTAACATGTGGAATTCACTGCTGCAGGAAGTGGTGGCAGCTACAAGCATAGACAGCTTCAAGAGGGTACTGGAGAAACATATGGAGCAAGGGTCCATCAGTGGCTATTAGTCAAAAGGTACAGATGGAACACTATGTCTGGGGCAGTAATACTCTGTATTCTTGGTGCTTGGGGGGCCACAGTGGGAGGGCTTCTGGAGTTCTGGCCCCACAGGTGGACCTCCTGATGACATCTTGGTTTTGGTCACTGTGTGACGTAGAGTGTTGGACTGGATGGGCTATTGGCCTGATCCAGCATGGCTTCTCTTATGTTGTTACATGAGCTTAGTGAAAAATGTTTCACTTCTGGCTGCTTATTGTAGCTGGCAGTTGTATGCATATGGAGATTTGCCGATCACCTTGGAGACAGCAGCGAACTGTAGTTTACCATTCATGTTCCAGAAAAATTGAAAAGAGGTCTCTGGGGGGAAAAAAATCTTCCCAAATCCCCCCCCCCGGCTCTCACTTTTCTACTTCTTCTACATTCCAAAGCTAGAAGAATTATGGACTGAGAATGAGGCTGGAAGCCACCTTCAGAATCTGCCTACATTCCCATTGTCCTCCTACCTTGGCTGACTCACCTGCTGTCATCTCTTGCCTGAACAGACTAGTTCAAAAAATTACTTGCCCTTTCCAAGAAAATGCTCGCTGATAGAAACAGAGATGTCACCTTCAAAATTGCTAAGTATGGTTGGCTGGCAATTAAGCTGAGGAAAATATGGATAAGTCATGCTAGCTGATATTTTAGAGATGGTTTGATAAGTAATTTAACTTATATCACGTAATATTTTAGGTTATTTTAGTGGTTTATTTATGTATTTTACAAATGTTATATTCCTGTATAGGGAACAGAAATATTTTAAGTTTGGGGTTTTACTTCTTTTACTGTGTACTGGTCAATGACTGTAATACATTTATTTACTTACTTACATTTACTTGCCCTTTCCAGAATAGAAAAAAAAAACAATACAGAAGACACAGATGTCAATTTGAGATGGGATTTTGTTGTTCAAAAATGGTCCAGCGTTCCCAAAAACTCTATCAACAAAATGGTTTATGCTTGATTTAATATAGTGCATACAAAAAGACTGGTTTGAAACCTAATGGAAAAAAGCAATCCTCTCTGATCAGTTTAAAGTTTCATGTAGTATGGAAATACACTGTCGATTGATTGTTCATGGGTAGTTTTGTTAAACTGATGAATTTCATTATGCTTTATCCTAGTTGTACTATATTGCACCGTAAAGTGCAAAATGTTTTGCATTGATGTGTCACTTTAATGTTTACGCAACTTACAATAAAAATTACCCCCAAAAAAGTTTCATGTACTACTGAAGTTCAAATGATTATTGTATTACCACTTTATTATTAACGGCAAAGAAACAACACAGAAATACAGGAAGTCAGTCTAACACACACAAAAGATACTCACCAAAAATTTCAAGTGCTATTCACTTCAGAGCCAAACAAAATAGCTTCCTGAATCCATAGAAAACTTCATTAAATAACCATATAAACACCCACAATCTGAAAACTCATTGAATAATACAGTATCACACCAGGATCTGAATGAGAAAGAGAAAACATTTGCTGTCAAAACAAACCATACAAGTTACCAAGGGACCCTTCTAATGGAAAATAAGTATTGCTTTCTACAAGAAAGTGTAAATTGTAACCACAGTAAAAAAAAAAAGAACATTAATACCCTACACAGGATGGATCAACATCTAAAAATGCAAGTCCAACACAGTCCATGCCTTGATGAAGGATTCCATCCACATTTACACAACTTGAGGCAATATACCAACTCAATTTCTTTGCAGATACCAGCATCAATTGAACTGATGTTTTTAATTTGCTGCATAAAAAAAGAAACACTGATTTCACTTCCAATGTAATTCCTCAGAGTTCAAGGCTTGCTTCTTGTAGTCTTCTTCAAGCCCCTGTTTTCTTTCTTTTTTAAAAAAATAGCACAAATAATGCATAGCCTCTATTTAGTTTTTCAGATGTCTCTCTTCTAAGAAAAATGTACAAGCTGGTTCAACACATGCATATATCAGCTGATTTCTCTGCACCAGGAATGCATACTTGATGATGACCTACAACCGAATGTGTGAAAAGCACTGTGTTTGTGGTGATGGGAAAATTCCATTTATAGCAGCCTATTCACACATGCACATCTTCACTTCAGGCTGCAGCCATCAAGTTATAAATACGTCTGTGCGAACCATCCCAAAGACAAAGTTTTTGTGGGAAATTCATATGACTTTCCAAAAACACAGAGTAAGCTATCCTCTTCCTCTTGTTTCATCAAATCCATACTGCTTCTTTTTGGAGATTCTGGTTTTTCTTTCTCAACTAGTTGTTTTGCACCCTGATTTTGAATTCCTTGACTTAGCCTCTTCTCAAA